TACAATATAAATTCACATATCATACACTAAAATGCATTTTAATGTAACATGCTTCCTTCAAACAAACTGAAGGATGTCAAGACACTGTCACGTCCATATGAAGTCCACTTTGCAGGCCACTTGTTGTTAAATGAGAACAAATGTCTGATGTAAATAGTGAAACAAATAAAATGTGCAGCGAGGGGGTTGTGAGAATCAGGATTGAGTAACAAGGATTGGAAATGTCTACTCTCAGCAGCATAACAAAACATGTTACAAAGCTAAAATCATCTGGTGTTTATGAACATGACAGGGGTTCACTATTCTCATACTGTACTTTAAAGGTGTCAAACCAAGTTACATGGGTACCACAGCTCTGCACAGTTTAGCTTTAACCAGGGGTGTTCAAACCTTGTCCTTTAAAGAAAACCCAAACTTCATTGAGGGCTGTGGGCAGAATATACACCAAATGTTATTACATTAAATTTGCCATGGGGAATTTCCTTATTTATTCGATAATATTTAAAAAACATTGCTTTAAATCATATTTAATATCTAATGCAGTATGTTTTTTTACATTTTATAATGAACTGATTACTGTAAAAACATAAACAATTCCATTTATAACACAATGTAATTTAATTCTGAATGCATTAGTCAAGCTCCTGCCATTAACTTGATATGCTTGTAAATGTCAGATGTACTGTATGTCAAGAGACAGTATTTACAATTTAAAATTTCATTTACAACATTTAATTGAATAATTTAATTTTAGTTGCCTTTTTTGTAGTTCAGCATAAAACTAAGAAACAAAAGATTACACTAAATTCAAAATTCAAATTGACGATGTTGAAATATTCAATTAATTCCATGTGTGTTCAAGAAAAAAAGGTCAGGAGAAGGTTTTCTTCAATGTCAAAAATTGTAACAATTTATTGGATACAAATGAATAATTCGATTCACAGAATTCTGTTATTCTCAATGCAATGCAACAGTTACATTAAGGAGGTGCGCAGCAGTTTTCATTTTCTGACTTCAACTTATATAGGCAGCTGATATTAACAGGTGGAGTTTAGTGAAATTCATCATTCATTGTGTCATTTATGTTAATCATTGTCCAGTCCTCTATTGGCCGCACCCCAGACATAAGTCCTCTTTTTCTATACGAATTCTTTGCTCAACAATAAAAGCCTGAAACTTTCTGTGCTCTGTGTTCAGTTTTAACACCTTTTCTTCAGAAAGGACGTTTCTGCAGAGCTGAATTTAATTTTGGACCAGCATTTATCTACTTCTGCAAAAATGCTAATTAGTATGCGCAGCATCCCACAAACAACTGTAGAAGTTCAGTTAATATATGACCATTAATTGACCAATACAAATAATTGTTTGATGAAAAGAAAAATAGACAAAAATAATAAAAATACATCCTTTTCCCCAATGATTTTTGTCAAAGGCATTCGCCCCAACCACCAACATTCTCTCTCTTTTTTCAGATGGGATGGTGAGCCAAATCAAAGGTTACCATGGGCCAACTTTGGCCCGTGGGCCCTGCTTTAGGCATCTTTGGCTTTAACCCTAATTAAACATCCCGTGTCAAACTAACTGAGTCCTTCAGGCTTGTTTGAAACTTACTGATAAGTGTGTTGGAGCAGGGTTGGAACTAAACTCTGTAGAGCTGCCGCCCCCCAGAAACTGAGTTTGCACTCTTGCTGTACAGCCTCTACAGCAGATTCCAGACCAGCAGAGCATCATTGGAATGTACTGGAATGGTGGATTCACATTATGAGGGTGACAAACCTGCAGTGACTGTGTGATGCTGTCTTAATATAAACCAAAATCCTAGAGGAATGTTTACAGCACTTTGTTAAAAATCTGTGAAATTAAAAATTTAAGGCAGTTCTGAAAGCAAAAAAGGAGTCCAACCTAAGATTAAGAAGGTGTACCTGTAACACAGTGGCCTAAATAACCACTTTAAATTTAGAATAGTCCACCAATCAGAGCCTATGCCTTTAATGAAATAAGAAGGTGGAGAGGTGACCCTACAGCGAGCTGAGAACGGCTTGGGGGGTTGTTATTGAGAAATGATCTTCATTCACAGTTGGGTTCAAGTGCAGCATGTCGGAGCAATACCCACTTGGCCGTGTCTCAGACAGAATAACCTTTTAATAACCTGCTCAAGATCAGCACTACAGTATGGATTAACACAGATTGTGAGTGTTAGAAGTGTAATATATTGAGTGTCTCTTATGAAGGGGCTGTGGGAATGTACTGCTGATCCTGCTTCTGATTCCTGCCAGACCAAGAGTGTCATTCCGGACAGGCCAGATCCCTTTCCAGAAAAGACCTGACCGCGTAACGGGACACTGCCGTCTCTCTCTCTGGCACCACATACATATTTCCGTTACACAGCAATGGGTTCAATCACTAACAAGCAGACAGGGTGTGGGTGCATACACACACAACACGCAGGCACGCACGCACACACGCACGCACGCACACATACACACACTATCTATCTATCTATCTATCTATCTATCTATCTATCTATCTATCTATCTATCTATCTATCTATCTATCTATCTATCTATCTATCTATCTATCTATCTATCTATCTATCTATCTATCTATCTATCTATCTAAGAAAATTATTTACTGAGTAAAAAAATGTCCCACTGAAAAAATCTCATGCTTAATCTTATGCATTTCTTTTTTTTGTTTTGTTTATTTGTTTACTGTTTATTAAAAAACAACTACCCTTTTCTCATTTTTTACATTACCACAGGCCATATTACAATTATCTATGAGAAGATACGACAATCTCACCAATGACAGCAAATAAACCTTACATTAAAAAAACATCATACTAAAGACTGGTAATCACAGCAGGCTTTCCGTTTCATTCAAATCACTGCTTGAGTGTTTTGAGTATGATGTCATAGTCTTGAGTTTATGGAAAAAAAACGTCCTTTGTATCTCTGTTTTTACCAACTGATCGTGTGACCCCAGAGTGGTTTTGCAAGTGTGTGTTGGTGTGAATGTGTGTAAGTGCACATGCTTTGGCTTTGGGACCCTAAGATCAGTTGACATAAACTTCCTGAGGAAGGGACCTGATTTGTCATGTGAAGGCGTTTTGAGTGGCATGTTGAAAAGTCATAAATCATCTGTGATAATGTATTACACTGCTGTGCAGGGGCCATTTTCATCCAGGTTTGATGATAAATTCAGTTTATTCTGTTCAGTCTTGCTGAATGCACACGTTTTATTGTATTATTTTTATTTGGACATTTTGCCTTATACTAATACAAAAAAGATAGTATAAGGAACAATAAATCACGAAAATGCTAAATTAATCATTTGAAGTGAATTTAGGCATCGCGTTTTTTAATGTATTGCCACAAATAGATTTTCATATGAATAGATTAAAGATTACATTTCATTTTCAAAATTAAATTATTAGTATTTTTATTGGTCAGAAAAATATAATATAATATAAAAATAGAGAATGAACTTGCTCAAATGGTTATTTATTATTTCTGATATAAACTGGTTGGACTGGATTTTTTACACATTTTTTTTATTTTTTACTTCAGTGTAGCATTATAATTTAATAATTTATTTATTAATTTACCTTCAGCTTAGTCTCTGATTATCAGGGGTCACCACAGTGCAATGTGAGGCGACAGTGCTAACCACTGAGCCACCGCGTTGTCCTTTAATTAAATGATATTGAATACAAATACTTTTCGACAATATCATTTTTTAATTATCATGTTGATTTGATTCTTAAAACATTTCTTACTGGTCAAATTCTTAGATTTTTGTTTTTATGGAAACATTGGATTTATGTGAATCTTATGATTGATAAAATGGTTTTAGAATGATCTGAAATTTAAAATTGTGTAAAACTAAATTCAGTGAACTTTTGGGAAACATTACTCAATGCATTCATTTTTTTTCTGCTTAGTCCCTTTATTAATCAGGGGTCACCACAGAAGAATGAACCACCAACTTATCCAGCATATGTTTTATTCAGTGGATGCCCTTCCAGTTGCAACCCTACTCTGGGAAACACTCATACACTCTTGCATTCACACACATCTAATTCTGTGGGGGAAACCGGAGCACCCAGAGGAAACCCATGCAAACACTGGGAGAACATGCTAACTCCATACAGAAATGCCAACTGACCCAGCCAGGGTTTGGAAATATTGTTACAACACAATATTTAATACTAAAATAATAATAATAATAATAATATTAATAATAAACATTATAATATGCTGACTTGGCGATCATGAGGAGTGAGAAAATTAATTCTAGATTTGTTTTAAAGATTTTTTAAAGAAAGTAAAATACTATATATTTCTACTCTCATGTTTAATAAATTATTTATTTTTTGTGGATAATAATACAATTTATTATTATATAATTTAATAATAATAATAATAATAATAATAATAATAATATAAACACATTTTAATAATAGGAATTCTTTTATTACACATTTAGTATTTGGTAATGAAGAAGCTTAAGATTAAGGAAGTAATTTTGTGGAAACTACGATTTATTTCGGAATTGTTTGAATAAAAAGAAGTTCTAGTATAATTATTTTCAAAACAAATATGAGGTAAAATTATAACTTTCTTAAGTGTCACATTTAATTAATTGGTAACAACTTAGTTTATGACATAATTCATGCTATTAACTCCTGGCTTATTACCTGCTTATTATTAAGATATTAACTATTAATTAGTAGCAGAATTACCTTATTCTGGCACTCTAAGCCTATTCAAAACCTTAACCCAACTTCTACCATAAACAAGTAATTACTTGGGTGTCATACATTCTTGCTAGATTAGGTTTCTAGCAAAGTTTCCAATGAAAGCAGATAACCAATATCGTAACTATATTCTGCACAGATGTTCAATTCATGAGTGGATGTGTTTACAAAACAATTGGTGATGTCAATAACAATTCTGAGGTTTAGTTATACTGAATGTTTGGTATATGCTTTTTCTCAGGTATGGGAACAGCACAGGGCTGTATAAAGTTCGTGTTGGTGATTATCACTCTCTGGTCCCTGAGGAGTATGAGGAAGAGTATGCCGTGGAGAAGATCGTCCTTCACCCACGCTACCATGCAGACAGTAGTGACTATGACCTGGCACTTCTGCGTGTTTCTGGACACAGAGCTCACAGGGGTGTCACGGGCCAATGCGTCACACTGAGCCGATCAGTGCTGCCCGCTTGTTTACCAGTGCGGAGAGAGAAAGTGCCAAAGGGCATTGCCAACTGCTACATCACAGGCTGGGGAGATACAGGTTAGAGATACGTAGCATGAAACACACATTCAAGTTATTTTGTTGTGCATATATATTGTCACAGCAAATATGGCGATAAGTGCTAGTGTTCTCATTTTAAGACCATTTTATGTCCCGGATAACATAATGATTATACAACAGCGTAGAAATGCAAATAGGCATTAACCAGCTCAGGCTCATTGGAAGTATGTGCCTAAATTTTTTTTTGCAAAATATAAAATACTTTGCTACGGGTACGTTTTGTTGTACATTTCAGATACATATCCTTGCAGAGCTTATTGGACAGATCACCTAGCGAACTACTGATCTAAGCCCTTCTCTGAACCCAACCAATAGTGTTTTCATTAGCAAACCTAATGCCAATGCAATCATGTCACAGATGATTTCACACTGCATGACTATCTGGCCTAGCATTTTGTCGCTGCTTTGTTTACACTGCAAGATGGATCGGCGACAGGGAGTTTCACACTGCCCGGCTTTACAAAAGAAGAATCGCGACAACTTTGTCCAAACTACTCTCACAACCAAACACACATAGTATATATTTTGTTATTAACTACATAATGAGAAAGTAGATTTGTTTGCTCGTACAATTGCTCTTTCAGTTTAGTAAATGCTAATGCTAAATATCTACAATACTTGAAAATAAACAACTGTTTATTTTATATCACGACATGGCCACACATTTATGCATCCACACAGTCCTTTTATCTTTAAAATAGACATTAAAAGGAAAATGGACATGGAAAAAAAGTGACTTTTTTTAAAAGATGTAAAATAAATCTGTGGTATATGTAGAATGTGTCTCAATAATCAGCTTAAAATACTCCACAGACTATTTATTAGCTTTTCAGGTGCTGCATAATATCATTGCGCCTGCTGTAGCCATAGTACAGCAGCAAAATTCCGTAATAATTACGCCAGAATGAAAGAATAGTTCCCAGGCATATCAGCCTAGAAATAGCAACTTTTATTTACCATCTGTTTTAGTACACAATTTAACTACAGAAGTGAAAAGTTTACTTACTCTTACTTACACCCAGGACCATTTATATCAAAGTTGATATTTAGCCACACCATGTTGGTGTTTTGTGACATCTAATTTTTACAAGGTGGGTCGATAGCCCAACGCTCAACCCCCAACCTGGACGACCAGGACATATAGACATACACTACGGACAATTTAGCATACCCAATTCACCTGTAGCACAGGTTTTTGGACTTGTGAAACAGAAACACCCTAAGGAAACCCTTGTGAACAAGGGGAGAAAATGCAAACTCCACACAGAAATGCCTACTGACCAAGCCGGGGCTCGAACCAGTGACCTTCTTGCTGTGAGGTGACAGCTCTACCCCCAAAAAAGAAAATTATCCAACCCAGGCTCATTATTGATACGTACTGCTATATACATTTCTGGACAGAAGTCTCAAGTCCGCCGACGTACATGGTGAGCTAATAGGCAAACTGGTAAACAGCAAAAAAACCGTCCACACGGAGGTAAGTGGGCAGATGTTAGCATGAAAAGGAACAGAAGCCATCGGGCGTCGTAACGTGCTCATAGTGCTTGTTTTAAAGACGAAATGCAACCATACGTAGCTCTGGCTACTTAATTTGCGCTCTCCAGAAAACTATATGGGGGTACATTGTCACAATGAGCCTGTGTTGAAATTATCGGAACTTGTTGGTCATTTTAAAGTGAGATGCTAATGGTCTAATCTGATTTAATGATTTATGCTAAGCTAAGCTAAGCTAAATTTGTCCTTGCTAGACCCGGTGCTTGTCTGAATGGGTTAAAAACTGTTTAACTAGGTGAGTTGGAAAATAGGCAAATTTCTGAAAAAAGCAGTTATCTTTTAAAGACTGGTAATATATAACCAGATCCCCCTACTATGTCAATAGAGAAGAGAAATCTGCAAAATGAGTTTTTAACACATGCTTACTGAAACTTGCTTTAAAACTCGAGAATTAGATTGAGAAACTGTTATATCAGACGGCCTGACAGCCTCAAGATTTCAAAATGAAGGATGTTTTGACCACAATTAGAGCAAAAGCTGAGGCGGTGTTTGTGTGTGAAATGTAGGTGTTTTGGGTGCTGTTGAATAGTGCAGTCTGACAGGCATAAGATGTGATCAGAGAGTGTGAAAGCAGAACTGACAGCGATGATCACACACCGCAAGATTTCACAGAGTCTTTGTTCAGTGTTCTGTCTGAAACAATCGCTCCCTCACTGTGTCCTTCTCACCCACAGAAAGACAAGAACAAAACTCCTGAGCCAAGTATATGGGATGACACTGCCATTTAATCATTCAAAACTTGCTTTTATCCAAAGCAAGTACAAATGAGGAAGAGCACAAGCAATTTTAGTTCAGAAAATCAAGACGTTTTCACCAATGTGTAATGCCATTTATTTATTTATAATGCCAGTAAGTGCTTTACTTATGAAGTACACTTTAAAACAATTTTAAAATCCTGCTCTTAAAGGAAATAACTTGCAAAACTAATACACTTACAAACATAATATAAAGTTTAACGTAACTGAATAAAAATGCAACATGCACTGTTAACATATTTTGGGTTCCACAAAGTCGATTTGTGTTGGGACAAATAATTTATTAATTTATTTGTTTTTACAAATTGTAATGGATTGAACATAAAACAATTAAGTTGCTTAAAAATAAAAAAGAAAAACTTAAGAATTGTGTTGTTTGAGGTTATTACTTAAATAAGTAGTTTGAACAAATAGCAAATCTAATTTTTGAGCGTAGTATAAAATTCATATGCAAGTAGTTTCTGTGGGTCTTAATAGTGTCTTAAAACATATTTATTTACCTTTTTATGATTTAAAGCTCTTAAATCAGAAAATCACCCTTTTAATTCATTAAGACTTGAAATTATTTGGATCAGTATATTTGTTTTCCAGGACAATTGCAGTAAAACATTTATAAAAAGCCTTTATTAAACCCTGGTTGGACTTTTAATGCTTTTAATACACTTATGTAGGACTAGAGCACAACTTCAAGTGCAGTTTTATAATTTTTATAACTACTTTATTCGAAATAAAATGAATGAAAATTCAATATTGATAAGCAGTAATGGTAAACTAAAATTTTATTACACTATTTTTTTACTTATTACACTACCTGACAAAAGTCTTGTCGCCTGTACAAGTTTCAGGAACAAAAAATAATAACTTGACTTCTAGTTGATCATTTGGTACCAAAGTAAAATACAGTCATGCCTTGATTTTTAATTAGGACAGTAAGGTTTGACTTTGCTGAGAGAAAAGTCCTGTCATTTAGCAGAAATAATGTACAGTGATGAATATAAAGTCATGGTGCACTGGAAGAAGAATGAATATTGTGCATGTCTCTCATGAGCATGGATAACTGCATCCATACATCTCTGCAATGACTCAAATAACTTATTAATAAAATCATCTGGAATGGCAAAGAAAGCGTTCTTGCAGCACTCCCAGAGTTAATCAAGATTCTTTGAATTAATTTTTAATGCTCCCTCCTTCATCTTACACCAGAGATGCTCAATAATGTTCATGTCTGGTGACTGGGCTGGCCAATCCTGGAGCACTTTGACCTTCTTTGCTTTCAGGAACCTTTATGTGGAGGCTGAAGTATGAGAAAGAGTGCTATCCTGCTGAAGAATTTGCCCTCTCCTGGTTTGTAATGTAATGGGCAGCACAAAAGTCTTGATACCTCAGGTTTGTTGGTGTTGCCATCCATTCTGCAGATCTATCACACACCCCATACTGAATGCAACCCCAAACCATGATTGTTTCTTCACCAAACTTGACTGATTTCTGTGAGAATCGTGGGTCATTGTGGGTTCCATTAAGTCTTCTTGAGTATTTGTAATGATTGGGATGCAGTTCAACAGATGATTTATCTGAAAAATCGACCTTCTGCCACATTTCCAAATGATCAACTAGAAGTCAAGTTATAATTTACTTACAACTGGGATCGATGACAAGACTTGTCAGGTAGTGTATAACTATTACTAAACTGAAATCAAATTTCAGTTAAGTTGGTGTCATTAGTAAACTTATCATCTTATACTTTCTCTAGTCTTGTGTGGTTTTCTTTCTTCTGGACCTCACAGAATATATTTTTGAATATAGTTTAAAATGTTATCAATGCAATGACCGTCAAAGGAGTCAAATACAGAGAATTTGCGCTTTTGGGTGAACTGTTTAATTAGCCATAAAATTGTTCTTGTTGGCTGAACATGACAAAAAATCTGTAAAACATCTGCTATTCCACAACATTCAGACATCATCCATCTCAAACCTTTAGTAATTATTTGTTTCCTCACTTGTATTTGCAAACAACGTTGCATATTTGCATGAGATTGTTTGTAAGCACTGGTTTATGTATGAGCACATGGCGTGAATGCCATTTTAACATGTTCATAATCACCAAAGAGTTTATATTAGTGGTCTGTGGGGTTATGGGGCAGTGAACTGATGTCATTTATAAATATCTCCAGCCAGATGTCCAGTGAGACAGAGAGCGATAACAAAATATTAGCAGCTAGCATCAGTTACATTTATCCTCATATACATAATCTACACTTACAAACAATTTTATAGCCATGAGAAGTTTAGCATATAAAGCTGAAGTCACAATTATTAGCCCTACTGTCATTTTTTTATTTCTTTATTTTATTTCTTTTTTTCTACCATTAATAGAACAAGTACTTTTTTTTTTACAGTATTTTCTATAATATTTTTTTTTCTGTAAAAAGTGTAATTTGTTTTATTTCGGCTAGAATAAAAGCTTTTTATTTTTTAAAAACTATTTTAAGGTCAATATAACTAGCCCTCTTTAGAAATATTGTTTTTTAATTGTCTACACCAGTGGTTCTCAATGTGGGGGTTGGGACCCCTCGAGGGGTCGCGGGACAATGAAGGGGGGGGGTCGCATGGTGATTTCCGGAAATCTTTTTATTTTTAGTAAACTGTAAGATTTACCATATTTTATCCATAACCTACTGAAGAGAAAAAATAGTCGTTTATAGTTACTATGTACTATACAGTTACTATAGTAGCTTATAGTTTTATTGGATTGCGACCCCTGGGGTAATTACATTATATTAAAGTAACAGCAATACCGTCAGATGTAGCATATTGATTTTATAACACCAGGTTAAACTTTCTAGCCCATCTACAGCACTGTCATACACTAAAAAGATTAAACGAAGAATATACTTGGGTCTATTGGTGTGTGTGCGTCATTTGTTGGGGGTCGCGGGCTAAAAAGTTTGGGAACCCCTGGTCTACACAACAAACCACTGTTATATAATGACTTACCTTAATTACCTTAACTTGCCTAAATACCGTAATTAGTTAAGCCTTTAAATTGCACTTTAAGCTGACTACTAGTGTCTTCAAAAATATCTAGTAAAATATTATTTTCTGTCATCATGGCAAAGATCAAATTAATCAGTTATTTGAAATGAGTTATTAAAACTGTTATGTTAAGAGATGTTTTGAAAAAATCTTTTTTCTGTTAAACAGAAATTGGGAAAAAATAAACAGGGGGTTAATAATTCAGGAGTGCTAATTATTGTGACTTCAACTGTGTATCATGGAAGTAATCTACTGGAAAAGAATGCACATAAATATTACGTGAGTGCAAGTGCAGGTGAAGATCTAACAGTTTGACTTTATGTACTTGTTAATAATGTATATAGCTACAGTCAATGTACTGAAAAGTGTTTTTTAATAAACTAAAATATTATTATAATTTCTACTGAAATGTATCCAAATATATTTATAATTGCACATTTGAAATGACTTTGCAGTTTAGTAAATGTAAAATAAATTAGCTTTAAATTTTGTTGAAAAAACACACTACAGTGCACTTTTGTATAATCACATGGAATAAGCATAACCATATATTGTATATTGTACATGTTAATTAACAGTACTTACTTAAATCTTCAGCTGTTTTATTTCACAGCTTATTTTTATTCGTTATTTTATTATCCAACATGTAACAGTAGCAGTGCACTTCTTTAAAGCATGACAAAGCTTATTTTGAACCTGATTTACCTGGTTAACACTGATATTAAGATGCATTTTCGTCAATTCGATAACAAATGACATTGACAATAGTAAACAGTGTAAGCACTTTGAGCCATCCACTGTTAACAGCGTTCAGAAACAGTCAGAAACTTATTTGATCTGATTGATCTTTAAGTGTAAATGGACAAAAAACAGGTATTGTAATGCTAGCTATTTAACGTGATTGTTATGGGTCGTGTTGAGAGAAAGCACAGTTAAACAAGACAATCGTGCTCAATATGACTGAAAAAATGCTATCACATCCTTTTTTTGCTTGCATTTCCCATTCTCATAAAGCACTGCAACATTGGTTGCTGCATCCCATGCATTGAAATGAAGTTAATATCATGGACAAATGAAAGAAGGTTTCAGAGTATTGCAATGCCATAAGGGAGAGTAATTAATAAAATTTGTTTTTGGTAAACTAATCCTTAAATAGAGATAGTTCACCCCAAATTATTTATTATCATTTACTCACCCTCAAGGTGTTCCAAGCCTTTATGAGTTTCTTTAATGAGTTGAAAGAAGATATGAAGATATGACTATGAGTAATGGGTTTTTGTGACGTGCACATTTAAGGTGTAAAAATTTATATATATATATATATATATATATATATATATATATATATATATATATATATATATATATATATATATATATATATATATAAAGATATATAAATCTTCTATTAATACTACATACAAATATCCATATTGCCATCATTGTGTACTTTAGTATACTAATGCCTTTTTTACATGATACAAGTACATTTTGTAAAGGGGTGGTCCACTACAATATCATATTTTAAACTTTAGGTCATGTGTAATGTAGCTGTGTGAACATAAACAGACATCTCTGAATGTAATGTAGATCAATGCAAAGAGGGACTTTGGCTTTAACAGAGTTAGCTTAACAAAGCCTGCAGTGAACAAAGTTTGGGGACTACAAAAAAAATATATTCGGGTTAGTGAGATTCATACACTTGGGTAGTGAAGAGGCATGGTCAGAGGTGCTATAATGTTATAGTAGAGAAAGCTAAAATGCTGTCCAAACACTGCTATTTCCACATATTCTTCTGTTTCTGTATTTAGGCTTCAAAAGGACACAATACAAAAAAAGTAGTGCTCACAGTTTAATTTTAATTATGTTCCAGTTAATTATAAAAAAAATATATAGCTCTAGCATTTGACAAAGGACAGCTTTCAGAATATCTTCCAGTCCAGTACTGGATTCCGCTAAAAACTCCTCAAAGAAGGAACAATTCTAACTATAATAGACAAAGCTGTGGATTGTGAGCAACAACTTTTACATGCATAGTGTCTACGGTTAACGGTATGTTGTAGCATTGACATAAACAAGGATGTAAAGAACGGGAAATGCTGTTTGGCACCGTCAACAATTTAGCAAGATTCAATTTTATCCGTCAAACCCCTGTAAACACCCACAATCTTCACTAGCGCTGCTGTGTCTTTGTATGCAGCCGCTTTCTCTGCGTTCTACATCTCAGATGACAAAGTCGCAAAAGATATGTGAACGTTTCATATTACTTACACATGCTTATTCTGAATATATGTGAAAGACACTTGTCAGATTTTAGCTCAGCACGTGCTAGAGGAGGCATGATACTTTTCTTGGTGATGTAGAGCTGTTCCGTGAATCACAGCACATTATGTTAGCTGACCAATCAGAGGCTCTAGAGGGCAGGCCTTTCAGAGGAACTAGGAAATATGGTCATTGTTTTCATGTTAGCTGAGTAGATGTATATTATCAAAGATTTATCGAAAAAATAACATTATTTTTTCCAAATGAAGCATGAGCACACATTGCTTTGCACCTTACACACACAACCAAGCCTTAAAAATACACTGTGGACCACCCATTTAAATTTGAAAATATACTTTTAAGAATTAAAGGAGACTTTTATGTAAAAATCACGTGTATAAGGAGTTTAAACACAGTTATGTGGCAACAGTCACTAAAATGGCACAATCTGGACAAAACCTATGAAAGGCGTTTCAAAATGTTATAAAAATGATGTGGTATTTTGAGCACAGACACAATGTAGGGACTTATTTTACATCTTTAAAACATGGGCAAAATACAGGTGGGTCCCCTTTAAGGCATACTAGAAGAGCAAATTCAATGCAATTAAGCTTGCTTCGGTATCCTCTGTATCCACACCTGTCCAGCTGTCTGCTCTCATCAAAACAGAAAGACAGACGAGACAGTAGAAACATCCACACAGAGCTGCAATCAGAGGCTGACAGCACAGAACATCAGGAACTCATCACCAAACTGCACTGCCTAATTATAATGTCAGTGTCAAGCATCTAGATGATCATGTGACGTGCTGATAGTAGGGTTTCACTCGAATGACCACGTCGTATTGTAAATCACCAGTGGCGTTTTCGAGCAAGTCCTTAACAGTATTCTGAAGTGAAATGAATGAAGTATGTGTTGCTGCAGCACTAAGAACAAAGTAACTCCACACTTGGTTGCATGCTTGAACAGTTAAGCCTGATCACTTCCAGACTGCAAGTTAAAAGGATTTCTGACCTTTTTATCCTCAGGTCGTGCATATTCCAAAACTCTCCAGCAGGCCTCCATTTCTGTGTTGAGCAAGCGTCAGTGTGAGCAGCGCTACTCGGAGCAGTTCACCAATCGTATGCTGTGCGCCGGCTCGTCCCATGATGCCCAGCGTGTGGACTCCTGCCGTGGCGATAGCGGTGGTCCGCTGGTGTGCGAGAGGCCAAGCGGGAGCTGGGTTGTTTATGGGGTCACATCATGGGGTCACGCGTGTCGCCTGCAGGAAGCACCCGGGGTATACACCAAAGTCTCCGCCTTTGTGCCCTGGATTAAGAAAGTTATTGGCCAGTAGAAAATTATGGTGAACAAAATAGTATTCTGACTTTGTGGGCATAAACAATGAAGCACATTTTAGATAATATTTTGAAAACTATTTCTTAACACTAGCTGAAATTACCTTTTAAACAAGTCTTAAATGCCAGAGAGAAAGGCTACGCTTTGCTTTAAAGGGGCTATATGTACGCATTTTCATGTATTTTATTGCCATTGTGAGGTTTATGAAAGGTTGTAGACTGATACTGTAGTTGTGAAGGACACAAAAGGATATGGTGTTTACAAACGCTCCTGAGAGCCTCTCTTTTCTTCTTTGGCACATGAACGAGTGCTATAAAAATGCTTAAGATCATGCTGAAAGAGCCGTACTGTAATGTCAATGTGTCAAACGAAGAAAGGAGATTCATTTAAATCACATCTTGTGGATGTTTAGTCTGTAGTAGGGATGTACGATGTTGATTAATTAATTTAATTAACGTTAAAAGTAAACCTTTGTGACTAGTCTAACAAACCCACAGACTGTTGAAAAACAGTATTTATGGTATATAGACTCACTGAACACTTTATTAAGTAGCTACACCTTACTATACCAGGTTGGACCCACTTTTGCCTTCAGAACTGCCTTAATCCTTTGTGGCAAAGATTTCACAAGGGACTGGAAAATTCCTCAGAGATTTTGGTCTTTATTGAGATGATAGCATCACATAGTGAGTTCTATGATGCGAATCTCCTGTTCCACCACATCCCAAAGTTGCTCTATTGGATTGAGACCTGGTGACTGTGGAGGCCATTTAAATACAGTGAACTCATTGTCATGTTCAAGAAACCAATCTGAGATGATTTGTGCTTTATGACATGATGCATTATCCTGCTGGAAGTAACTATAAGAAGATAGGTACAGTGGTCATAAAGGGATGGACCAGGCAACATTTTTCCAATCTTCTATTGTCCAACTTCGGTGAGTCTGTGAGAATTGTAGCCTCAGTTTCCTGTTCTTAACTGACAAGAGTGGCACCTGGTGTGGTCTTCTGCTGGTTCTGGTTCTGTCAACAAGGCGTTTGTTGCTGGGTTCTCGAGATATACCGGAGCTCAAACTTCCCTTTCGCCCTGCAAACGGGAGGGAGCCCCGGGCTTGAGGATCTCATTGGCTCAGGGCTCTCTCCCGGGACAGCATGCCAAACTAGCTTATTACCAATCATCAGCCAAGTGTGAACTCTTGCAATTGGCCTTAGTGTATGTGTGTGTGAATGAGAGTGTAAGGGTGTTTCCCAGTACTGGGTTGCAGCTGGAAGGGCATCTGCTGTGTAAAACGTATGCTTGATAAGTTGGTGGTACATTCCACTGTGGTGACCCCTGATAAATAAAGGGACTAAGCCGAAGGAAAAAGAATGAAATGAATGAATATTGCCGCTCGCTTGAAACGGATATTGCATATACTTTTTTTAGATATTGTGCAGCTCTACTAGGCAGTCTAGTACCAAAAATTACAAGCTTTAATAGAATTTGTGAACTAAAAGTAAATTGAAATACTGTAGTATATTGTATTTGGGGTGCTTTGTTACATTCAGTCTCCTGTTTCTCGTGTGCAGTATGAGCTAGCAGTGGTTTCTGAAATCTACATATAGCCCTTTTAAGTGTGGGGTGATGAAGGGATGAAGTCAAAAACCAGAAAAATGATTTACAGTCAGTGGGTAAAATGTGTTCTGTGATAATTGTATTTCAACATATTTCCCATAACCAGGCTTCCATAATATATATTTGCTATAATTTCAACTAGTGGGCACTGAACTGAAAATGTAGGTTGCAGAAAGCTTCCTTGCACAACCTACAAGTTTTTGGCTGTTTTTGTACAAGGACATTTAAAATATTTTTTTTAAAGAATGATTAGCTTTAGTAGAGTTGGATTTTAAATTGGGAATAAATCTAAACACACTGAATAAAGTCAGTATTTGTGGGTTTAAAAATTCATGACAAAATGCATAGAGTTGTCTTAAACTTTCCTTTTTTTATGAAAGCACTTCAAGGGTTGAAGAGACCACATTGGTGATTGTGGAATTATTCTGATTTCTTTTTTTAATGAACATGTATCCAAGTGACTGTATTCTTCTTACCATTAAGAAATAAGCACAAACTTTAAACCATAAACCAGGATGTGTAATGTTTCTCAGTTGATACCTATTTGAGCGTCTTGAAGAACGTTCCGATGGCTTGAAATCACATCAGGCTTTAATGCTGAAATGAGAAGATTCTGGATTTCCTGCCAAGAAATCTATGGTAATTCTAAACTCTTGGGAAACGGTTACCATGCCATTGCTTAGAAACGGACCGCATCACCTCATCAACACATTAGATGACATCATAATCCATCCATGACTTCATTTGTTATAGATCAGATGACGGTGACGATAACTGGACTGAGGCTTGCTGTCTTAACATGAGGCCATTTTACATGCATACATACACTCACCGGCCACTATATTAAGTACACCGTACAAGTACTGAGTTGGATCCCCTTTTGCCTACAGGACTTCCATAATCCTTTGTGGCATAGTTTTAATAAGGTACTGGAAATATTCTTTGGAGATTTTTTGTCCACATTGACATGATAGCATCACAAAGTTGCTGAATCTCCATGATGCGAATCTCCCGTCCAGTACATCCTAAAGGTGCTCTATTGGATTGAGATCTGGTGACTGTGGAGGCTGTTTGAGAACAGTGAACTCATTGTCATGTTCAAGAAACCAGTTGCCGCCAAATTCTGACCCTACCTCCGGAATGTCGCAGGAGAAATCAAGACTCAGCAGATCAGGCAACCATCACCTCAAAATCACCTTTCTTCCCCATTCTGATGCTCAGTTTCAACTGCAGCAGATCATCTTGACCCTGTCTACATGCCTAAATGCATTGAGTTGCTGCCATATGATTGGCTGTTTAGAAATTTGCGTTAACAAGCAGTTGGACAGGTGTACCTAAAAAAGTGGCTAGTGAGTGTACATCCGCCTAATATTTTTGCAGTCACACTCTCTTCCAGAAGGAAATGGGAATTATGTGCAATGGCAGACTCTTTAAACAACTTTGTTTTATGACTGTGTTAATTAGAGCGCTTTATGTTAGCATAATAAATGGTCTTCAATTTATGTTTTCTGTGATCTGTGTCTATAATAAACCATCATAAGCATGATTTATGAGCGTAGAGACTAGTACGGCCTTTTTATTCTTTCTATTATTGGTCTGTGTAAAAAAAAAGACCAACCGCAAGCTGTTATTTTGCACAAACTATGGTGTTGTAGTTTTTGATTTGAGTTTTTTTTTTTTTTCAGATTTTTGTACAGTTCTTGTTTTTTTACTACATCAGTATTCAATCATATAATCTCTTGTTAATTGACTGTGCTGTGAAAACTGTTAAAGAGTGTTCATTTGTTGACACATGGTCAATAATTCTGCTGTTTTTATTGTTGCTGAATGTTTAAATGTTTCTGAACTTTTGGAGCTTGTATCTTTATCTTTAAAAAGTGTCAAATGAAGTGGCTTGTGATTAATGATAGCTGAAATGTCATCAATAAAACAAACATTGTTAAATATTTGGAAAAATGTAGTCATAAAAGCTTAAGGTATGTACAATTGTCTTACAACCTCAGTTTTGAGCATTAAACATTTGTTAGTCATGAATAAAGTACTGTCATTTTAAATATGAGTCCTAGATTAAAATGATTTACTATATGCCATATTATTACTACATAAAAAATGTTGTGCTAAAATTGGAAAATCTTTTGAAGCTAATGTTGAACATTTAGCCAAATTATCTGGCTGAAGTAAAGGTCAAATGGTCAAGTGGCAATTATAGTTTCCGGTGGGCAAATAACTTGTAAGCACATAAATAATGGCGAATTAGGAAATATTATGTTAATAAGTAAAAAAAAAAAAAAGGGTTTTGCCATGTTTTCTTTTTTTCTTGCCTTCTTTTTTTGTGCTTAATAATAACCCATTAACTAATATCTTTAATTTTTTATCTTTACTTTAGACTTTTTAACAATTTGATACACAGCAAAACGTCCGAGTAAAATTTACTTCTCCTACTGGTCCGACTGCGACAATGATTTAAAATAAAACAGAGAACAATCAACTCCTGCTGTAAAAAGCAAAATTACTGAAGAAAATCACAAAACTACAATAGAATTCAGGCACAACCTTAAGCCCTGCGGTCTACACACACATGGGTGTCAAAATTGCTGCTTTTTCTACATGATTTGTCCATACACAAATGCAGTATCAGGTCACTAAAACCCTCATTTTTAAAAACTCTTTTCAAGGTGAAGATTTTGAAAAGCAACAGGGTCTGTGTTTTATAGAAAACTAAGAAAAAATGTTAAATAAAAAATGAAAATAAATTTCAATACTGCAATAATTGACTGAAATAATTATAATTATATTATTAAATATAATTTATTAAAAATAATATTGAAATAATTATAATTATTAACTTTTTCTTTTATCTTTTTGACACACAGGACTTTGTTGGGGAAACTACTGTGTGTTTCTCTTCCTATTCAATTTTTACATTAAACATTGCTTACTACATATTTGTCCACCGGCAATAGTTGCTATATTCAAATTTGATTTTCTTGAAAAAATAAAATAAAATAATTAATCAAAAACCTGGAGAAAATAAATCGAAAACATGTTCATATAGGATATATGCATGAAACAATTTTTTACAAATTTGGGCACGGTTGCACAATTGGGTTAACATTTTAGTTTGTCTTCTACTTTTTTTCATTAGACTATAATACTTTAGGCTGCCTTATGGTCATATCACAGTTATATTTGGGGGGGGGGGGGGGTAAATAATTAAAAACTATTCTATAAAACTGCACAATTCTACTGGGCAAGTGTAAAATTGATTCTGAAAATGATATGCTTTGCTCTTTCCAGGCAGATAAAAGTTAGGTAAATATTGCTGCTTGTTAAATTGCTTAGGCTGAAATGTTAGCTTTAGGTTTTGTAAATCAGCATCCTCTCAGTGGTCTGACAGTTCTGTTAGCACAATCTTTTCCCAAAGCCCTTGACTATGTACCTGCAAAACCATTGTGTGTGTGTGTGTGTGTGTGTGTGTGTACTTAAAGGCAGTGTTCACCCAAAAAAGAAAAAGATGTGGTCATTCACACCTCACTTGTTTTAAACCTTTATGAGTTTCTTAATTCTATTAAAAAAGAAGATATATATATATATATATATATATATATATATATATATATATATATATATATATATATATATATATATATATATATATATAAAATGAAAGTCAATGGTTACAGGTTTTCATAATTTTTCAAAATAACTTTTTTTGGTTTTCATATGTATGTATAAAATTCTAATTGTTAAAATAATATATGTAAACAGCCATAAAAAAAAAAAAAAAAAAAAAAAAATATATATATATATATATATATATATATATATATATATATATATATATATATATATATATATATATATATATATATATGTATATAATGAAAAAGCACAAGTGTGAGTATGTGTTTGTAAGAGTAGCTGTGCAGTTGTCGGGGGAACTGAAGACTCTTCATACAGTGACATTGTTCTGGAGAGTGAAAGATCAATCCTGACAGATCAGTTACAGTGATTGAGACTGAGAGCGGT